GAGAGAGAGAGAGAGAGAGAGAGAGAGAAAGGGATGAAGGAGGGGAGGGCAGAGGATCAAAGAAACAAGAGAGTACTGAGACTGCTATGTAATCAATACAATTTTCCATCAATACACACCGAAAGTGATGGTAATGGGTCTCCACTCATTCGGAATCATCATTCCACCCCTAATCACATCTAAGCCTATCTCATTCTTACAAACTTACACTCTCAAACGTATCCCCCCTCCCTTTTTTTTCTCTCAAAGCACACGTACTTATCTATGAACCACGATAATGGCCTAAACAGATAATTTCGTTCGAAAACAACTTTCCTATAATCAAGTGCCTTACCGGTTCAGACCATACTGATTTTTCTTTAACAACGAAACAAATTAATGTTGACCTATTTACAGCGTAGTGAGACTTTGTGTGGTTGCAGAGAATGTTTACAGTAGCACTTTGTCTATGACAGGGGTGAACAAACTTTCTTCAAAGTGGACTGGATAACCGAGGGACTGTGACAATGAGAATGCCGAGCGCGGGCTATATAATAGATCTAGATTGATGTGCTAAATGAAAGATTTGTCACATCAAAAAGATCGCTTTGTGTGATACATTTGCTAGAAGTTATAAAAGCACGTTTCAATTTTTACAAATACTTTGATGGTTCTAGAATCGATAAGGGTGGTCTGCGGCCGCCATCCGGGTGACATTCAAAATCCCTACCAAAACTGAAAATACTCTAGTCCGTAAAATACATATTATAGAATTCCTTCTAACTCGAAATGTGGCTGCCTGATGGAAAGAGGCCCCCCAAAGTAGGAAAACATTTTTAATGGCTGCATACGTAAAAACCAGTTGCACTGCAGGTTTAAGAATCAGCAATCGAGCACCCCTGCGATCTAGTGGGGGAACGCAAAGAGGAAGAAGAATTTGCACCACAGAGTTCGATGAAACAACAAATATTATTTTGTTGACCTAGTCCAGAGCACACTTCAAATACATCTTCATATTTTTGTTTTCTTCTCGTGATAACAAGTGGGTGGGGCGGAGCAGACAAACTGGCCTTGCGGAGTGTACTTCGGTCATCCCTGTTCTAAGTAACACCATGGTGGTACAGTTTGGTTCATCCCTAAGTCTGACCTAGGCCATTGCCGTATTACGTACACATTACAATCAGCTGAATGAATCCTATGAGGATTAAAGAGACAGATATCTCCGGAAGCTTGTTTCCCTGTGTATAAGAAAGTCGTTTCCTGGTTATATTATCGGAGAAATTTCTTTTCTCATTTTCACTCTTGTTTGGCTTGTCTGTTTATTGTCAGTTTTCCCTCCTTTTTCCTCCGTCTCGTCTATTCTATCTGAGCGACCTGTTTTGAGCATATTACAGTCATGTTTTTAAAAACTAAAAAGCCATTGACACATTCTCTCACCTG